CTATGGTATCTCCCCAAAAAAGCCTATGGTGTCGCCCTAAAAAAGCTTATGGTATCCCTCGCCCAAAATCATATGGTATCGCCCCAAAAAAGCTTATCTCCCCAGAAATCCTATGGTATCGCCCCTAAAAACCCTATGGTATTTATTGAAAGGGATACCATAGACTTTTTAAAACAAACTAATACAATTAAAACACCCGATAAATGACCCAGCAAGAACTTCACCTGGTACTGCAACAACAATATTACCATGGCAAATATTTCCAAAAGCTATTATATTATATGATATTATTAATATATTTAACCCTGGCTTTATGTATCAGAGGTCACCACAGTGGAATAAACCGCCAACTATTCCCACACCAACTTCAACACACTCATTCACACACACAGTTATACACAACGGCTAATTTAGTTCACTCAGTCGACTTATAGTTATAGTGCATGTGTTTGTACTGTGGGGAAAACCAGACCATCCGGAGGAAACGCACGCCAACACGGAAAAAACATGCAAACTCCACACAGAAATGCCAACTGACTTATCTAATTTTTGGACTAGAGATTGAGACTGTCATTGCATCTATTTACATATGTTAATCAAATGAAAATCAAATGAGAAGCGTCTTAAAGGGGACGAGGGCTGGCATGCACTAGAGAGCATATGATTGGTCAAAAGATTTGATGAGAAACTGAAGAATGAGGAGACGTCAAAAAAAGCACTGATCCATTTAGATGGAAGTGATGTTTCTATCAGCTTTTAGCGCACTAGCTTAAAGATTTCCTAAACACTAACATCTAAAAAACTTTATTTTATTTTCATTGCACCTTTTAAGCTTGAGAAAGATTTCCGACACAAAGAAATACCATCAGCATGTGCCTGTATGTCAACATCCCCTTGACAGCAATGGTGACCAACATGTGTAGAAAGCAAAAGAAAAAAGAAGCTTGACATCTAGGCCTCATACTCCAGGAAATCCACCTTTTCCTATAATGCCGTGCAAGACTCAGAGGCATTCGCTGCCTAACGTGTTTTGTTATTTGAAACCAGCCCTGTTCAAACCGAGAGTCTGACCCGTCAAGCATTAATACAGTAGACTTCAGACACTCGAGGGAGGCAGTGTATTCTATTACGGGAAAATGTCTCTAGTCTTTAAACAATGTAAACTATCACAAGCAATTAGGCGCCATCCAGCTTGACTCCTCCGGTTCGGCGCTGTGCAAACAACAGGGCTTTACCTTCCTTTAGCAGGAGACCAGACAATGTGACACCATCAGGTAACAAGAGAGCTTTGGATTCATCTATTCTGCAAACAGACGAGCTGAGGCTATAGTAAAGGCTATTGCGGTAAAGGCACAATGTGATATGTTTTGATTAAAATATCTAGAACTTTGTCATATATTTTGCATGACAAGCTTCACTTACATTTGGGAAAACGTAAACATTTTTGCTGTTCTATTTATTGCCAAATAAGTGATCCCCTTCACCTTTAAGCGAGTGCATTTTCATTATGCATCCATCATTAATCTTGGAGGTAAGTGTCTGAGCTGCCTCTGCTCTCGGCACTGATCTCAGTGAATCAGACCAGTAATGCATTAATTGAGTTTAACACATTCTAATCTCTGTAGAGCTATTCAAGAGCGGGGACAGAAAATGGAGGCCAAATATGTGTCGGAGAGGACAGGGTCACGGAGCTGACCTCCAATTTAGGAAATGGCTCTGTTCCTTGAGGTAATTAGCCTGTCATCTTTTAAAATCCCCTCCGCGCCTTTAACAGGAAGTCACAGGACGGACCGCCATGTCTGCTTCAGACCATAACAGAGTAAAGATCCACAGCTATTCGACCTTTGACCTTTCGCAACTCCATTCCCAGCCTCTTGAGCAGTGTGTATTATTTTAGCTCGCTGATAAAGAGAAAATGATGGCCAGCCTCTAACCTCGGAGAATAAAATCACACACTTGACTTTCAGGGACATGATGTTGAAACACATTGACCTTTGTGAAGACCTAACAAACACAGGCCAGGCTGAGGGCAAATAAACGGATTCTTTAGGTTTTTAAACTAGGTTAAACAAGATAACAAATGTATTTATTTCCTTCAACAAACATCATTTATGTGTTATCACTGAAGCCTGACAATATCTCATTATAATGCATGTTGTCCTTTGCCCTAAACGCCAAACACCAGGCTGGCCTAAAGTGGTACTTTTGTAGCTGTGCATGCTGGGAAACATTAAAGAAATAGTTCACCCTACTCAAAAAAATATTTAACTTACGGTTTACTCTCCCTCATGTGGTTCTAACGCCTGTTTCACACCGCAAGCGTCAGCGGCGCGTGAGCAGAGCGTGCGCAGCGCGTATGTTGAGCAGTAGCAGCACGCAGGCGTTTGCCTTTTAAACCAGCTGCGTCTGCAGCGCGCAGCTCTTCGGCAGCTGCTGCAGAGAACAACCTATCTCTGTCTATTCTATCTAGCTACCCATGTCTCTCTATATACAAATACACTTTTTAAACTTTTCATCTGCACCAAGGCCCCTCCTATGCTGTTTCTTTAACCTGCAAATGTTTATTTTACAAATTTTATAGATCAAATAGTACTGTATACTTCTCAAGCTAACTTATATGAGAAGTGTCTACAGTCAGAAGACAATCGCCTGTGATATCATGTCATTTGTTGTTGATTGTCAGGTTGCTGTAGACCTATCTATAATAATATTTATACAATATAGTTATAATGATATTGATCAAACTAGTGTTACTTTCTCCGCTTCAGTGATGTCCAGTGGCAGAATAACAGCTCGTTAATTCATGCTCGTGCAGAGGATGAGACGGACAAAAGTAACCGATGCATGCCATTCTTTTACTTATTTTCGTGTTGTCAGGTTCACATTTCAAACAGCTCCCGGTAGGAATAACTCGAGTGAACATAAAACAAAGCCGATTAAAACTTTCTTCCTCTGCTCAACTGCACAGAACACAGCACACAGCAAGCTCACATAATCCAGCATGCGTGTCGAACTACACTACCCACAATACACTTCGCTATGGACTACAAAGCCCGTAATTATTCTATTTCCCCTCTCCTACAACACTAGTGTGCAACTTAAGCAAAACTGATACTAAAATTGTTTTACATTTGGTTTTGTAGTTCGGGCCTGAATAAATGTTTGTTGCCGTTTTTAATCGTTTTAAGTTCATTTGATTGACTATATATAAACCATTTGACATTATTAACGCATTTATTGGGTAAAATTGCTACTTTTTACTGTCCTTCAATGTGTTTTGGTCATTATAAATGCACTGTCACTTTAATTGAGCGTGAGCAGCGCGTCAAAAATAGACTCAGCGCCGAAACTATCGCTGCACTGCTGCTTCGGCGACGCTCACGCCTCGCTCTGACGCGCTGCTGCTGCGTGCGGTATGAAAGCTCTAATCTGTTAACATGGATGCCGAAAACACGCTCTGCTCACGCGCCGCTGACGCTTGCGGTGTGAAACAGGCGTAAAGCTTCATAAGTTTCTTTATTCTGTTGAACACAAAAGACGTTATTATGAAGAAAGCTGAAAACCTGTAACCACTGACTTCCATAGTTGGAGAAAGAAATAACATGGAAGCCAATGGTTACAGGTTTTTAGCTTTCTTCTAAACATCTTCTTTTGCGTTAAACAACTCATACTCAAACATGTTTGAAACCGGTAGACGATGAATAAACCATGACAGAATTATGCAACATGGCTCATTCTGAAAATGTAGCCCCACATACATTTCTGGAGATCGTGAATTATGTAGCCAGAGCTACGTATGGCTGCATTTTGTTTTTAAAATGAATGCTACAGGGTGGTATGACACCGTTCCTTTTTGCGCTTACCAGCTGAGCGCTTACCTTTGTGTGGACCGCTTTCCTGCTGTTATCAGTTTGCTCAGTGGCTCACTGTATACGTCGGTGGACTTGTGGCAGGGAGCAGAGTTGATCACAGCAACAGGGTTTGATTACAGAAACAAAGACTGCGAAAAAAAACCCCTCCTGGGACATATTTGGCACTTTGCAGAAATATATATAGTGGTACGTTTTCAGTATGAGCCTGGGTTGGAATTTTTGAAACATTTTGGTTGAACTATCCCTTTAAGGATTAAGGTCCCAGTAAACAAGTGAAGCCAAGTGAAGTTCTTTCACATCCTTTGCATAAATAAAAACACCCAAGCAGCAATATACTCTTGGAGGAAATTCCACTTTTGCTTGAAAGAATGAAAAATTAGCAGTTTTGTTTTTAATTACAATAGCTTCAATTTATACTACACATCTCTCCAGTGTTTACTTGCAGATCCCAATGAACCAAACAGACGAAATAAACCAGAGAAGGCAGAATAATGAAGACGGCGGCGTCAAAACAATAATTAAGAGAATCACGCATGTGCTTATAAGTCAAGAATACATCTGTTATGATCACCAGCTGCTGGACAACATTCACATTCAACTGCACTACAAATCCCATCATGCACTTCACTCACACACCTGGCCTAGATCCCCCATGTTCACAAACAGATAAACAAGACTCAGCAACGTGTGTGTGTGTGTGTGTTTGAGAGGTGTATAAATAGTGTGTAATTAGCCCTGAACAGCTTCAGCGTTATCTATTTGCAATCATGCAGGATCTAGGCCAGGTGTGTGAGTGAAGTGCATAATGGGATTTGTAGTGCAGTAGAATGTGCCGGCAAGAGCAACACTGCTGGTGATCATAACAACAGCATTTGTAGATTTATAAATTTATATTTTTATAAAAAGATTTATGTATTTATAAACTGCTTACTAACATCTATTAATGTGGAGTTAACTCTTTGCTAATGCTTAACAAATGATTCATATGTGTGTGTTTATTATAAAGTGCCTAATGTGTTATATTGTATGTGTGCATATAGTGTATATTGTAATGTGTATATATAGTGTTGTACCAAAGTGGGTATAAATGCTAAACTTAAGGTTAACCCAGAGATTTTGCTCACTCACCCATGGCTGCTGCTGCTGCTGCTGCTGAAAGCTGTAGGATCGGCGCCGGTCGTCGGGTTCCTCCTCATGTTTGGCCTGCTGGAACTCTTGCCGTAGCCGCTGTATCCGGTCATGGTTGCTAGGCGCCAGTCTGTTGCTATAGAAAAGAACAGATCATACATTCTCATTGATGACCAGACAACTTGACATCGAACTAGAAGAAGAATGAGCAGATGGTGCACAACAAATGATACCATCAAAAATAAAGCATACATACTGAACATTTACTTATGAGGGAAATCTGAACGCTCCTTTATGAATGAATTATATTATTGATTAATTCCCACATTCATTCTGCACAAATCAACAGATATTTTACAAAATTCAGAGAGAAAATAGACAATTGATAGCATAAGCACTATTTGAGATAGATATTTACGATACTCCCAAAATCGAAGGTCAAATGAATGTTGTATTTTTGCTGCAAAATCTTGTCTGCATTATTGCACAAATGTTGCTGCACTACTTTTCATTTATTCATTTAAAATCTTCCGCATTCTGTGACATTTTGTGTTATACAGGTAAGTGTTTAACTGTGTTTCTCGCATTTTTCTTTGTCGTTAGTAACTGGAAATGTGTCTGTGAAAGATGTTCATTGACAGAAGTCATTTCATTGTAAGGAATAAGAGCAGCTTGAACATTCTAAAAACAATCTTCTTATATATATATATATATATATATATATATATATATATATATATATATATATAAAATAATGGGTCAATGAGAAATTTCAAGGTTTCCCTGTTTGCCTAAGTATACAAGAACTCAAGAATACAAGAATATTTTGATCAATTTTCATATCTATCATTAGTATTTACATTATAATATAGTAGAGGTGTGAACCTATACTAGTCTCACGGTTCGTTTCGGTTACGATTATCATGCCATCGATTCGGTTCAATTCGATATCTCGGTGCATCGCGGTGCATTGACGATGCTTTCCATATACAGTGTTATATTTTAGAGGGGAGGCTATAACAAGCTGTCTGTGTAAACACACAGACACACAGCACCACACTGTCTCTCATTCACACACAAACACAAACATTGACAGCCCCAAACAAACAAACAAAAACACACACACACACATTTAACCCCTCGCAACAGGGAGAGCTCGCGCTAAGCGGAGCAGAAAAACGAAAAAAAAAAAAAACGAAAAAAAAGAAGCACTTTTCCGACGGTCCCTTACTGAGAGCTTCTCTCAGCGCGAGCTCTGCCGGCTAAACACATATTGCGAGGGCTTAAACGGAGCAGTGATCGTAATGTCGAGCGAAAAAAAAGAAAGACAGCTGTGAAACATAACCAGCTTTGTCTTTCTGTAGGAAACACACTTTAGATCTTTCTAGGGTAAGAGGTTTTTGAGTTATTGCCGTCTATAACTGAATGTGTGTCAGGAATATCGAAAATAAAACCAACTGAACCGCGCTCATTTCTGGCGGCCCCCTGGATATACAGCGCCCTTAACATTTGCCTTGGTGCCTATGCCACGGGCCGGCTCTGAGTTGCCTGAGTGTTGTAAATACCCGAGCTTGCCTCCCTTGCGACAGAGCGCATAGGAGATAAATGACGTCAGTACATAATAACCGGTTATCATTATTACTGAATCGATACCGAATTGTCCGCGTCGGCATCGCAGTGCACCGAAGAAACAATTAATTTTGACACCCCTACAATATAGTTATATCATGTTACTTAATTCATTTCAGAGACGATCTTGGCCCCATTAGAGTGGTTGAGGTTCTCAGCAGCTTTGACAACACGGGAAATGTCTGTGAGTATTCATTCTGTACATGTCTACAGTACTATTCATAAGTCAGCATTGAATAGTGAAACTCCCTGGTTATGAACAACACTTGACGGTAATGATGAACAGAAGTGTTCAATGGCAGTCAGCAGGGTGTCAGATCAGATCAGATTTCAACTACCAAATAAATCTGCAGATATTTTACAAAATTCTGTAAGGACATTGCCAAAAATGATCAGAGTCTGTCTTGCCCTGCTCATAAGACTATAGCTTGTTTCTTAAATCAATAGCACAAGCACTATTTGAGCCTATATATGTGGCCCTATCCATTTTTTATGTTTAATTTTTTTAGTCAGGATACTCCCATATTGATTCCACATAAATCCACAGCTACTTTTCAAATTTCACTGAGAAAATAGGCAAAATGATCAGAGTCTGTCTTGCCCTGCTGATAAGACTACAGCGTGTTTCCTCAATCAATAGCATAAGCACTATTTGAGCCTACATATGTGCCCCTATCCATTTTGCTAAATTACACGTTCGGACACAGCCCATTACGTTCTCCACATTTGGCATGCGTGCGCCGCCGTCTTGAGAACATGAAATGGACCAAACGTTTCCGTGAAGGACTCCCCAGTGAACCATGGCCAATGATACATGTCCCGCTTACGACAGGAGTCAAAGGCCCCGGTTTCAGCCCTAGGAGAACTCACAGAGGCTCATTTGCATTGCTTTCATTAAGAGCGGAGGAGAGTGACCGTCAATGGGAATCAATGTGAGTCGTCCTGCTAATCAAGCCCTGCTTTTATCTACTGCAGCACACGAGCTGCTGCTGACAAACCACTCGCTATCATACAACATCCTGTCTGATTATATGACTCGTTTGCACTTGCATGCACACACACCCTGTGATGTTTGTTTCCTTTTTCAAATATTTCCCAAATGATGTTGAACAGATTCAGGAATTTTTCATAGTATTTCCTATAATGTTGTTTTCTTCTGGAGAAAGTCTTACTTATTTTATTTCAGCTGGAATAAAATAAGTTTTTAATTTCTTTACACTTATTTTAAGATCAATATTATTAGCCGCTTTCAGCAATATTAGTTTTATATTGTCTCCAGAACAAACCACTGTTGACTTGCCTAATTACCTTAACTTTACCCTAATTAACCTAGTTAAGCTTTTAAATGTTCTCCCCGTGTTGGTGTGGGTTTCCTCTGGGTGCTCCGGTTTCTCCCACAAGTCCAAAGACATGCGCAATAGGTGAATTGGGCAAGCTAAGTTGTCTGTAGTGTATGTGTGTGAATGAGTGTGTAAAGTGAAATCACTTTTGACCAATGCAAACTATTATTTTTCTTACATCCAGCTGTGCAAGAAAACATAAAATCAGACATGAGTGAATCTTTCACTACTGACCTGCTGTATTGCTGTTAAATACAGAAAACATTTTACAAATGTCTTTTATTCTAAATCGTGGACCTTATTCTTGAAACAAAAAATGACCAATAAAAAGCTGTAAAGCACCAAAAGTGGCCCATTTTAAAATACATTTGAATCAGGCTATTCCAAACAAGTACACAGCATAAGACATTAGTTAGATTCAGGTTGTGATGTTAAGTAACCAAAATTCAGTGTCTAGCCAGCGTCTAATAACAGCGTTATTTTGATGTCCAATAATGACGTCAAATAACGTTGATGTTTGGTTGATTTTAAGTTGTGTTGGGAAGTGACCAAAATCCAACGTCGAGCCAACATCTAAAACCAGCGTCATGTTGACGTCAAATACTGACATTTATTCCTCAGGTATGGCGACCAAAATCTAACGTCTCATAGTCGTCATAGTGGTAAGGTCCACACAACGTCAAGCTGTACAATCATTAGATGTTGATATCTGGTGGATTTTAGGTTTGACTTTGGACATGGATGTTCTGACGTCAACTGGATTTTCATTTCCAAACAAAATGAAACATCCCCATAATGTTGGGGTACAATGTCAATCTGACATCATGTTGACATTCTGTCTGCTGGGTTGTTGTATTCCATAAATTTGTAAATTTGCTTTTATTACAAGAGAGGCTAGAAAAATCATGAAGCTATACGTTATTATTATTATTATTATTATTATTATTATTATTGTTATCAGTATTTTTATTATTATTATTATTATTATTATTATTATTGTTATCAGTATTATTATTATTATTATTAGTAGTAGTAGTATTATCATTATTATTATTATTGTTATTATTATTATTATTATTATCATTATTATTATTATTATTAGTAGTAGTAGTAGTAGTAGTAGTATTATCATTATTATTATTATTATTATTATTGTTATTATTATTATTATTATTATTATTATCATTATTATTATTAGTAGTAGTAGTAGTAGTATCATTATTATTATTATTATTATTATTATTATTATTATTATTATTATTATTATTATTAGTAGTAGTAGTAGTAGTAGTATCATTATTTTTATTATTGTTATTATTATTATTATTATTATCATCATTATTATTATTAGTAGTAGTAGTAGTATTATCATTATTATTATTATTATTATTATTATTATCATTATTATTATTATTATTATTATCATTATTATTATTATTAATAATATTATTTTATTATTATCTGTAGTATTAATAGTATTATTAATTATATTTTTATTAATATTATCATTATTATCAATATTAATATTATCATTATTATTATTAATATTAATATGTTTGAGTTTTTTTATTATTTAAATGGTGGAATTCTGACTGAGCAAAGGTGAACGTGCTGGTCGGTCTGTTATTTGCCTAATAAATGACAATCATTTAAAACTTTAGCGGATTTCTATTTTTTCTATTAATATATGATGTAATAAATTTGTATTTTCCACTTTTCAGTCATTGTAAAAAAAAATTTTTTCCCCCTAATCTTTAATAAATCATTTTGGTACAACATAAATTGTGGTTATGATGACATCAAGCTAATCCAGGTAAAAATAGTGCTTAAAATGTCACTAAAGTGCAGCATTTAAACCTCAGAATAAAATAGAAAATGAGGCGAAACCTGCAAACTTTTTCAGCTTGAGAAAAAAAAGAAACACACCTTTCACCAAGCTGGCTACATATATGCTTAAATATGACATGCAGTTATATATATATATATAACTATATATACTTTATCATATTTCATCCTTCAGATGCTTGACGTTTCTTTGAGAACAGCCTTTCTCAAGTTTCTACATTTCCTAAAATGTCAGTAAATGTCAGTGGATGAAGATGATACACTCCGCACATCTCATGATAGCTTATCAAATGGCATATTTAAATTCACAGTCCTACATTTA